GTCAAAGATCTGAGAAGGGAATAAATATTACTTAACAAATGAGAGATATCCAAAATGTGCAACAAATGACAGAGACAACTGACTACCTGGGCAATCACCCAAAGTCTTGTTCGCAATGTTGAGTCAACCAACTTTGGCTAAGGCCTAACATAATTGACATACCATTATCAAATGCAAGGAACTTTTTTAGAATTATCCTACCCTGTCTTGGCAAGATAAGACAATCCTGTTCCATATCTTTGTCAGTAGTTGAGGTATGGGCTTTTCTTAACCCAAAGGCCAGTTCTGCCAAGAAGACAAGCTCCCAGTGGAGTGTCTTTGGTGCTCAACATTCTCTCGGGAGTAGAGTGGCGTTGCCAGGAGTAATTGTGTCTCGTTGGCACAGAATTCTAGGTTAGATAAAAGGCCATTTTCTACAGCTCTTTAAAGAGGCTGAAGATTATACTATCTATACTAAATATAATCTCTATGTAACTAGAAGACTTGATTAACCTAAAAATAAACATGACAAACATATAATTCTTAATACCTATCTAACTTGAAGACTAAGAGAATAAACAACTGTGCAATATATGAAGATAATGATCTTCACCTGTAAACAATGTCATTACATATCAAATGTAAACAATGTTATTACATAAATAGTATCAGAGGTAGAAATGTACATCGTGATATGGTAGATGTATCAATACAATATACTTGGGTGGTCCTTGGACTTCCCACAGGGCAGGGAACCCTGATGGCTCTTTGGGCTGATGAGGGAGGGGGACTCTACTGGGGGAGGGGGAGGGAAATGGGAGGTGGCGGTGGGGAAGAGACAGAAATCTTTAATAAATAAAAAAATAAAAAAAAAGAATGGGAGAGAGGGAGGAAGAAGTAGAGTTGAAACTGCAAAATAAAATAAAATAAAACATTTCCCATCGACAGCCAATGAGAAAAGCGAATCCTTTCAAACAGGGGATCAAGGCTTTCTCGGGATGCAGGGTATTGAATGGGATGGGGAGTGCTTCCAGGACTGACCAGGTCCCGATGTGACCATCCAGGGGCACTACAACTTACATTTACGTGTGCTGAGGTTAAGAATGAGGGCAAAACAAACTTGGTTCTCAAGACCGTGAGTGGAAGAAAGCAGTCAGTTCTGTGGAGAAGGGTGTGTACCTGGTGCATAAGTGGAATTCAAAACCAGTCTTCCCCAGGCAAGATAATGAGAGGACCAGGAAGGCTGGGGTAAGGACAGCTTCATCTCTCCCCTACGCTGGCACTGAAAATACCTTCCTTTGTTGAGAGCACACACCTGAGCTGAGCTGGTTCCACCTCTCCCAGTGGAATCCAGTGAGAGGCAGGGCAGGTAAATCCTTCCAGGTGCTTCGCGTAATGAGAGGCCCCATGCTAATTTCCAGACTTCTTATACAAAATCAAGGCTTTGTCCAGGTTCTTTCACCGAGAAGAAAGAGATGAATTGAACGCTGCCCTCAGAGGGGCCAGGCAAGCCCACATGAATATGTTTTGATTCCTGAAACACAAAACCATTTATTTGAGGGTTCATTTCGGTATTTAGAGCCATGCACATATAACGTTTCCATCAACATGAATAGCTGCCAATTGTCGCGGCAGATTCATCTTTTACGAGCTCGTCAGCAGAGAGGCGAGGTGAAAGAAGAGACTTTGCCCCACGTGAACCTTCTGAGGACAATCAGTTCCCACATCGAATCTTGCCCACATTCATCGACCGCCACTTTCTCCGTTCGTGCGGCGGCGCCAGCTGCCCCCTGCCACCTCTGCCCAGCTGAGGTGGTTTCTCCGATCCGCCACCTGGGTGGGGCAGGCTGCCATTTTCAGTTTGGAAGGAGAAGCCTATCAATCTGCTGCCTGGGAAGAGAGACATCACCGAATTGTCGTTTGCCCCCCAAACGCAGAAAACATCAATTGCGTCGTAGCTCATCAGAGTTGGCGCCACCTGCCACTTCCTTTCTCAGCGGCAATTAACATGCTGCAGCTCGCCATTGATTGAATCCGAGCAGCCTGACGCTGCCAGCAAGGAGCTCTAAATGAAACGCTACAACCTGATGGGATTTTTCATAGTTTTAGCAACACGAGCTTATTTTTATTGCCAGACTACAGTAGTCAGCAGAGAAGCTTTTTTCCTTCCTTCCTTCCTTCCTTCCTTCCTTCCTTCCTTCCTTCCTTCCTTCCTTCCTTCCTTCCTTCCTTCTCTCTCTCTCTCTCTTTCCCTTCCTTCCTTCCTTCCTTCCTTCCTTCCTTTCTTTCTTTCTTTCTTTCTTTCTTTCTTTCTTTCTTTCTTTCTTTCTTTCTTCCTCTGTCTTCCTTCCTTTCTTCCTTCTTTTTTTAAAATGCTTTTCTTTGGGGAAGGCAGTGAGTTCCGGTACTGTGTATCTCTTTGGAGGTGGAGGAGGGCAACCCCCTTTTCTGTAACCTGGCACCCAGCACCCCACCAACACTCAGAGAATGTTGAATAAGTAGATCAATAGATGGACGGGTTGGAGAGACCACACTTAAGAACAATTCTTGATCCAGCGTGGGTAAAATTATGAGCTCGTGACGATGAAAACCTGTCTGGCTTGATTTCCATGACGTGGGAGGCTGGCTGTGAAATATGACCCCAGGCTGGAGCTTGATGCCAGTTTCTTCTTGACTTTCTACCCTGGGGCTCTTCTGAGGAGCAGTTCAGAATCCTTTCACAAACCTGCTCCATCGCACAAAACATTTTAAGGGTCTAGAACATTCTCCATTGGAAGAAATCAAACCCTTTTAAGTAACCCAGCAGCCACAGCTTGATAACCCAACAGCAAGGCCAAGATCGCCCTTTCTCCTGGCCATTTTGGGAGAATCCCTTTTAATATAACTAGCTAAAGCAAGTGCCAACTCTTTTTCACAATGACACCCTAGGCACCACAAACTCATATCCTCTGTTAAATACACGCAGACATCAGACAGTGTGTGCTTTCAACTAACTGGGAAAATAAAAGCTGGAGTTACACATCTCTTTCTCAAAATGTGCTCATTCCTGTGTATCCAATATTTTTCTCAATGCCCGGGGGCTGAAAAGATAATTTTTGAGACAAGGTCTGTCTATGCAACCTTGGCTGACATGGAATTCGTTATGTAAATCAGGCTGTCTTGGAACTCCAAGAGATCCACCTGCCTCTGCCTCTTGAGTGCTGGGATTAAAAGGAATGTATCACCATGCCTGGCTGAAAATATTATTTTGGTGTTCTTTATACATCTTTATTACTATGCAAATCACTGCCTCAAACATCTAGGCCTAATGCTGTTTATATGGTAATATCTTTGTTTTGAAAGGCCTCTCCAAATGGTAACCTAGGAGAATCTGAAGGATGGGCAATCACATGACCCATGTCCACTAAGTTTGCAAATACATAAAGAGCAGGAAATGGCAGTGTTTGCAAATTAGTAGGTAGATAGGAAAAGGCCTCCACTGTTCGCTAGTATTAGAACTGAACCCATTAGAAGACTTGATTCTAGAAAATAAAAATAAAAACAAAAAGGGAAGAGAAGGGAGTAAAGACAACTGTTGAACTTTAGGGTGCCATAGAGGGTTGTACTGGCTAACTGGGTCCAACTATATGCCTCTAGATCTGGCTTACCCCCAGCCAGGTTGGACCACACAGACAACACCTCAGATGGAAGTAATTAATGAGTCAGCTTAGATTGAGAAAAATCCGGTCACCAGTTACAGTCAACAGCTACAAAGCACCCGAGTCTGGTGAAACATTTAAATACTCATGGATATGAGTGGCCAGGTACACACTGAAGAGTCCTTTAGTCTCTCTCATCACTAGCAGCTAAATCTTTTAAGAATTCCATCAAAGGAAAACAATCCACTCTTCTATGACAAAAACACACCACCATTCTAAATATTGTCTTCTCTCTTCCCTGTCCGCACTGTCCAAATACGCAAGGAAGCCCAGCAGCTCGGTAACGGCCACTCGATCCACAAACATTTTTTTGCAGATTTAAAATGTCTCACACACACACACACAAACACACGCGTACACATGCACACACGCATGCCACGCACATACACACATACATGCATACATATACTCATACACATGCTCCTGACTCAGTTTGGAGTTAGATAAATGGGGGTGCTGCCTTCAGTTCTACCTGGAAGTCAGAAGTGGTTTTGTTTTTGTCTCAAGGAGGTTATGCACTTAAGATGACCACAGATGACCATGGTAAAACTGGGTGCCCTGGGACCACAGTGTGTTTTCCAGTAGCAATGCCAGCTCACCGGTGTTTTGCCAACAAAAGAAAGCTTCCCTTTCTGCCATCACCAAAGCTCCTCAGAAAGCACTTTAAAACCATTCATTTCCTAGAAGCACTTATGATGATCCAGGGCTAGAAGCAGAGCATTGTGGGAGCAACAGGCTTCTTATGGTAGTGGATTTGGTGAAAACAAGGATCTTGCTGACATGGACTTAAAATTTTATTTCCTTTTTCCATTGTCAAAAAAAATTAAATTAAGGCTCAAATGTTTTGTTCAACTCTCATTGCTTATGTATATTATATTAAGGCTTATAAATATACCTGGTAAATTAAATTCACCCTGGATTGAATTAACACCTGCTATATGAGTTATTGGCTTTATTTAATCAGTAATCTCTGGGTTTCTCTGCTTTCTCTGGAAACACAATTTAAATATTACGCTAATCTTTAAACTGCCGCTGCTGTGTCCTGACATTTGGAAACTGGTCAGCCGTGCAAAAAAGACAAATATGGGCGTATTAATGAAAAGGCATTTCTTAAAAGTCTTAAAACATGTAACTCAATGAATTATAAAGGAAAATGACAAAGGCAGTGGGGAGGTCAAGCCTGTGTGACTTTCCAGGGAGCAAACAATGCTGGCTGGCTGCCAAGATCACCTCCACTCTCAGGACTGGCTCATGTGCACTGCCGAGCTCAAGGGCCTTTGTCACTTGGTCATTAAAGACTTGGAAAAAACCTTGGGAAGCCAAAACAGCTATAAGACCTATAAAAAGATACTTGTTTTTTGAGACAGGATCTCCCTGTATAACGCAGGCTAGCCTGGAACTCACAGCAAACCTCCTGCCTTAGCTTTTTTCAGCAGAGATTACAGATATGAACTACCACACAGAACTCATATGAGAGGCGTTTAATTTCCTTTCTTCCTTTCTAAATTAAGTGCCTGGGTGAGAAAGGGTGGCGCTCTTGGTTCTCTGGCTTCAGTGGGGGAGGAGCACCTAAGTCCTGCTGAGTTGACAGCCTCTGGAAAGAACGAAGTTTTCAAAATGTTGGTCTTGGGTTCTTTCCTTGACACGCTGTTCCTCCAGAGAATCCACAAGCTTGTTTCTTTGCTCAATCACCTGAATCATCTGCTTGAATATTTCTTGCTCCTCCTTTTGATCATTCTCATCTTTCTGGCCCTCTAAAGAAAAGCAGAAGAAAAAAAAATCAGCCCTCGGGTAAGACGGCGGGGTGGGGGGGGTGGGGGGGAGAGAAGAATTCTTAGCGTGGGAGTTCACAATTGTTCTGGGCTTGTTATATCCTATACAAGGAAGTGAATTTAACACCAAGGAGCTGCCCTTAAAGCCACAGAGGAGAAAAGTGGGCACTTTGTGCCGTAGTCAGCTTAAATTTCACATGTGTGCATGTGTGTGTGTTCATGTGCATGTGCCTGTGTGTGCATAGTGTGCATGTGTGTGTTTGTGCATGTGTGTTCATGCATATGTTTGCATGTGCATGTTTGTGTATATGAGTGTGTAGGGGCACCTGAGAAAAAGAGAACTTAATGCAGCCACACCCTGTCAAGCCTTAACCCTCCTTCCCCTCTAAGGAAGACACCAAACAGGAGAAGGCTGCTTTCCTAAGCATAGCTGAGCCACATCAGGGGCTCCTATGTCAATGAGAACAACTCTTCTGCCATTTGTATATAATAATAAATTGTACCTTTTGTTTTAAACTGTGTGTGTGTATGTGTGTGTGTGCCATCTCCTCTATCCCTGGTGGGTCTCAAACTTTTATATAGCTGAGACTGGTCTTGAACTCCTGATTCTCCTGCCTCTTCCTCCAAAGTACAGGGATTAGAGGCAGGCACCACTATGGCATGTGTGCGGAGGTCTAAGGACAACTTTCAGGAGTTGGTTCTTGGGTTCCACATTGTTCTAGTTAAGGTCCCTCTTGTTCTTTGCTGCTGGGATTACAGGCATGCACCATTTTGACTTCCTTGTACACCTTTCTTAATAGTGCTATATAGTGCCACCCTATAGGGCTTCTTAGAAACAGAAATGGCTCAGCAGATAAAGGTGCTTGCTATCAAGTCTAACGACCTGAACTCAATTCCTAGGACCCATACAGTGGAAGGAGAGAACCAGCTTCCACAAACTGTCCTCTGACCTCCACATGTGTGCTGGGGGGGGGGAGCATGTGTGTCCCCCACCCCCACACATAGATAAATAAAAACATAGTTTAAAAAAGAAATAACAGTCTGAGCTGGGTATGTTGGTGCTTGCCTGTAGTCCCAGTACTTGGGAGGCTGAGGAAGGCTGCAATTTAAGGCCAGCTTCAGTTACAGAGGGAGAACTTGAATGGGGGGGGGGGGGGGGGGGACGGACCTGTAAATCACTTCCACGGGTGGGAGATGAGTTTGTGGTCTCCTGCTGAATTGGAGCCCCGCTGCTCTCACCTTAAGGGATTATTTCTGTTCACTGTGACTCAGTTTTTCAAATCTTAAGACATGGATAAAATACTTAACCAAAACTGATGGTGGCTAATATGTGGTGTGCTTTCCCAGTACCAGGCAACTCAGAAAGGCTGGGACAATGTGAGTTCTGTGAGATCTAGACCTGTAAGATGTCAGTGTAAGGAAGTCATCATAGAGCAGGCCCACAAACCCACAGGCACACCTCAGAAAGATGCTCTTAAGGCTGGAGTCAATGAATTCCTAAGTACTGGCGGGACAATTGTCTCATGCACAACGCCCTGCACAATGCCCTGTCACAGTCCCAGCCAAGGCCAGCAGAGAATATTCTTATTTCCGGGACTGGCTTCTCTGTCCCCCCCCCCCCCACGACTTCTAGGGTCCTCATGTACTGTAATGACGGTTCTGGCTACCACTCTCCCACTGAGATCACAAACTCCCAGTGAGGAGAGGCTGGTCTTTGTCATCTGCCAAGCCTAAGCAAATACATGTATACCATGGTTCCTGCCGGGCATGGTGGTACATGCGGGAACCCCAGCAGGTGAGAGTCTGAGCAGTATGGTTTTAGTAGGAAAATCTCCCCCACCGGCTCATGTGTTTCAACACTTGGTTCCTACCTGGTGGCATTGCTTTGGAAGGTTTTCTGATCTTTTGGGGGGTGGGACCTCACTGGAGGAACTGGGTCATTGTGGGGAGGGGGAGGTTATAGTCTTGCTCTGCTTTCTATCCTATCTCTGCTTCCTGCTTAGCTAAGAACCAACAGGTGCTGCATGCTCCTCCCACCACAGACACACCAGTGGTCATGCCTTCCAGGCATGGTGGACAGTGCCCCCTCAAATTGTGAGACAAAACAAACCTCTTCAGGTGTTTAGTTATAGCCATGAGAAAAGTAACGAATATACAGGGGAAGGAAGCCTGGGTGTTCAAGGTCAGCTTGGGCTACACAAGACTCCCCCTTAACAAGCATACATTTAAAAATTAAAATAAGTTGCTTTATTTTTATCAACACGCGGGATGATGGAAATGTGGCTCTCACAAGTGAATGACACCAGCCGGAGACCTGCTGGGCTTCAGAGGTGGTCAAGGAACAGGCCGGCTTTGTGCTCTGGCTCTCAGACTACGGGCTCTCCACTCCTATCTATAGGGTGCTTTGCTCAAAGGTCCTGGGTGGGCGTGTCTTCAGCAGGGGCCCCACACCTGTGCCACACTCACCATCCTTGAGCATCTTCTGTCGTAGCTTCTGCTCCAGTCTCCTTTGGTGATCTTCTAGTTCTAGCTCCTGGGCCCTGAGGACAAGAAAATGTCCCTGCCATTAATCGGGAGTTTGTGGAAACATCAATGGAGGTAGCCACAAACAGTGGCCAGCACAGGCTTTTTCCCATTAAAACTGGACTATTCTAATGTCTCTAAACAGGTGTTGCTACTGCTGGGGCCACTAGAGGTGCCTAGAAAGACGACTGAGATCACTGGATCTGAGAGAATATGAGACAGCTGGAGGGGGTGATGTTGAAGGCCACCAAACTGTTCCTTGGGGTTTGCTCTGGGAGACCAGCAGAGCAGGGAGCAGAGCTGAGTCCTCTTTGACAGCCAGCTAGGGACTTGACTTGTCAGAGCCTGGGGATGTCTCAGGCATTTCTCCCTTGTAGCTCCCCAGATGCTGGCCCATGCCACTCCAGAGCTCAGCATAGGAATGAGGACCTAGACAGATGTGGTGATGTCAAGAGGTGGTACTTAGAGTCACATGATCCTTAAGAAAAGACTGTAAAGGGGAGAAGCGCTGAATGGCCCCCATGGGGTTGAAGGGTCCACAGCAATGCACCCTCACAGACCTGGAGGGTGAGACAGGAGAGGGGCTTAGGGCCACTGTTCCCCAGGCCACAAAGAGACTGACGGTTGGGAATGGGTCCCTTCATTCCTCCTCTTGGGACTTGCCCTTCCAGACCTGACCTGTGGTTGTATGTGTACCTGTGACAGTGTTGTTGCTATTAGTTTTCATATTTATTTTGCTCCTTTGTTTTTGAGATGGGGTTTCCTGTAGTGCAGGCTGACCTCAGACTTGCTATGTCACCTTGAACTTCTGCACCTCCTGCCATCCCCTCTACCCCGATACCTCTACTACCTCTAATACAATGTTGGTATTACAGATGTGTGCCATTAAACTGGTGGTGCTGGGATTTGAACCCAGGACTTTCCGAATGCTAGACAAGCATCCTATCAGATGAGCTACATCCCCAGACCTGCTACTACTTTTCCTTCTAAAGCTGCTTCAGCTTAAGTCCTGTCTTATTACTGACACCTGGGTCCTCTGCAGGAGCTCGGAGGTGGTGGTAGCTCAGCTCTCAGAGGAAACTCTCTGGGAGAAGCTTAGCAACAAAGAGGCTGCTATAGAATCAGCTTCAATGTCTCACTGAAGTCCTGTAATTCCTGGGTGACTCCCAGCCAAAGGCTAAGCATCACAGCGGTGTGAGAACTGGCAAGTCCTTCCAAACATGGAGCTCTCTGATGGGCTCTCTATTCTGATGCTCCTCTGCCTTGGCTGGGTCTCAGAGCTATTCACAAGCAGAACTCCTCCTGCCCTTCCTTCTTTCTTCCCTCCCTCCCTCTGTTTTTTACTAGGAATCAGAACTGCAGTGGGGCCCAAGACTCTCCCACTGTCCTGTCTTCTTTCTCTTTATCCTTCACAGGAGTCCTCCTCAAGGAATCTCACATATCACTCATTCTGCCTTAACTTTGCTTCCTGAGGGGTCTGACCTGACACGCCAATCTAAGACATCTTTCCTTGCTCACACAGGTCTTCCTCCAACCAAGCCCTACCCTTCAAACGTGCCTCTGTCCAGTGCACACACCCCGGTTGTCCTCTTTGACCTCTTACAGAGGAGAAAGTCCTCTCTCTGGTGAAGCTGATAGCTCGGCTCCCTCCTCCCCAAACAGACTCTTGTATCCTTCACAGAACTCTTCTTGTCATGCGTTCACTTCTCTGCCCTGCCCGTCCCTAACCTCCAAAGGGCTGAGGGTCTAGGCTTGCACCACCGTGCCTGGCTACGGCCTGTTTTTATAAAAACCAGCTGAGTTCCCAGCACAGAGAAGATGTTCTTGTTAAATTTCTGTTGGAAGGACTACAAGTCAGACCTAACTCCAATGCAGACAGTATGGCTGCATATGAGGCAGATACGGACAGATACATGATTGCTAGAGAGGGGCTCCCTCTTCCCTGTGCCTGGCACTCCCTTCCGAGGGTTGGTGAGTAGTGACTGTAACTCCTGGCCCCCTCCTCCAGCCCCTCCTATCCCCACTCTCAGGTAGATTTTAGAGAGATAGATAGGGCATGTTCACCTCATTTCTCTCCCAGGCTCGGTCTATCTCTGGCAAGCATGTGTTCTCAGGCTTCCTAGGCTTTGCTACATGCTTTGGTAAGATTTCACTGCCCGCTTAGGCTGCTGACTCCATGTAGGGGGCAGGAGGAGCTGCCCTGTGAACTACAGGAAGAAAGCTTAGCAGCATCCTTGGCCTGTATTCAGTAGCCTTTGGTCACAGCCCCAAGTGTGACAACCAAGCACACTCCCTGGCCTTTGCTAAATAGTCTCTGGGGATCACCCCCTCATCGCCCTTGAGACCCAAGGGTCTAGGATAGAACCTTTTCCCTAAGGATCAAGTAGGTCCCCTTCCTTTCTTCATGAGGTAGCTATATCCATTTCTGAGATTTGGCTAGTGTAGAAGGCTGAATAAGAAAGACATGTTCACATCCTAAGCCCTGGGAATAGTGAATAGGGGTCTTTCAGACTTGGTTAGGGACCTTGAGATGGCCACATCCAGATTATATCAGTGAGCCCTCAGCCCAGTGAGAAGACTTTCGAAGAGACAGACAAGAAGACACAGACACACAGAGAAGGCTGTGCGACAAGGCCACCCCCAAGGAATGCCTAGAGCCATAAGAAGTGGAAGAGGCAAGGAAGGAGTCCCGGTGGGAGGATCTGGGAGAAAGCGGCTCCCTCGGCCCCTTCACGTGGACTTCCGGCTTCCAGACTAAGGGGAATGTTCCTGCTGCTGTGAGAACCCTAAGAAATTAGTTAGTGAGCCAGCCTGGGTTCTCAGCCTCTGTCATTAGTCACTACTAATAATAAAGGTAATATTTGGAGGGTTTACCTATCTCTCACCTGGTTCAGAACCTGGCAGGAAAGAGTGGACCCCCCTCTCAAAGCTCCCCAGATGACCACTCAGGGTTGAAGTGAAAACGAAACCAACAACATAAACGAAAACTCCCAACACTAACTCTGGAACTCAGTGGTTTATTCTCAAGGCCATTTTCTCTCTCCAGACTGCTGGCAGCATCCTTTGTTTCAGGATCGGGTGGTGAACCATAAGTCTTCATTCTGACCATCTGACCAGGTTACCAGCCCTTTCTCCGAGAAGACAGATCCCAGACAGCCAGTGTTCAGCCCTTCTTTTGTTAAAGCCACCAGGAAGTGGTCAGGCAGATTTCCCATGGCTCACACATAGGCCAAGGACAGCATCCCCACTGATGGCGTGTTACTGGGGGCCAGGAACGGTCCAGCTGCCGTCTTGCTCCTGACCTGCTACTGAAATCTGTTTTAGCCACTGAACTCGGAAGAGAGAGAGGACACTAAAGACTCTTTCCACTAATGCCAGCATGATATGCGAGACACAAAATACCAATTTGCCTCAATCACTGTTCCGTATGCACGAAGAAGAAAAACCCCGGGACTCCAGCCAAGGACGGTGAGCCACCCGCGCCCAGCTACCCGGCTGTTAGCACTCACTGTGATCCGTGTTGTCTTACTTACATGATCAGTAGCTCCGACTCATAGCGCATTAATTTATTCTTCTCCAGAACCAGCTTAAACCATTCCTGCAAAAGCTGGGCTTCGTCCTGTGTCCCTGAATCTGCTTAAGAAATCAACGGCAAATGGGTTAGATTGGCATTTCTCGTCCCATGATCAAACTGCTTCCGAGCCACTTTAGCGGGCCATGTTTGTGGCAAGCAGGGCCCGGCAGGAAGCAGCTCCCGGCACCCTGTGGAGGCCTCAAGGTCATGAGCAGCACAAATGAAACCCACCTGTGCCTGCCTGCTCAGGGGGCGTCCTCCTGGGCACGGAGGACCTGGCTACTTCAGTTCCAAGGTCACATGCCTGTGATGACTGATGTCCTACTACTCCTGCCACAAAGGACTCATCTCTGCCTACTTTTGTGTTCAGAAAATTAACGGACCTTTCTGCATCAGCGAAGTCCTAGCTGCCTGCCTTTCCTCACCCCATCACCCCCCTGGAAATCAGACCCACACAGAGTACCCAGGTGGTGAGCTGTCCCTGCCCAAGCCAGGGTTACTCACACCACAATGGATCACACAGACAGGCGACTGGCATTTTGATTTTCTTCCCCCCTGAGGAAAAGCCAAACAATAATAATAATATAAAAAACTACAGTTAGAATTGAGTCTCACGGGAGACAAATTTGTATTCCTATATTCTTATAGCATAGATACGTCCCTTTATTAAACAGAGGCTTAACTGTGCGGCATGTGCATGCCTGGTGCCCTCGGAAGTCAGAAGAGGGCAACAGTTTCCCCGGGAACTGGTATTACAGGCAGTGGTGAGTGTCATGGGGTGCTGGGGCTCAAACCTGGGTCCTCTGGAAGAGCAGTCACTACTCTTAACCACCGAGCCCCTTCTCCAACCTCTAATTCGAGATGTCAAAAAGCGTTTTGTTCATTTGGTTTATACAAAGTCAGGACTAGAGTGATGTCTGTGTTACACATCTCCAGAAATCTGGAGAGAGTTCAGTGGATCTATTGAACAGTAGTGTCTGAGAATCTTTGTGAGCAGAATGACTCAAATCACAACAGAGAAACCCTCTGGAAATACAGAGAAGGTGGGGGGACTCTCGCACCTGTTTCCTGTGATCTGGGTTTACAGATGTCATTAACTCCATCTTGGCTCACAGAAGACCTCTGACTTTCTGCCACAGCGAGGGTGCAACGGTGCTCCATGCTTTGTTTAGGTAGTAAGCCCTTTGCCATTAAGCCAGTTCAAGACTCTGCATAGATCTCATTAAACACCATCTTGTTAAGCTGAGTGTGGGGGGGGCACACCTGATACCCCAGAGGCTGAGGCAGGAAGACTGCCATGAGTTCAAAGCCAACCTGGGATACATAGTAAGTTCCAGGCCAGTCTGGACTATGGAGCAAGACCCTGTCTCAAAAAACTAACAATTAACCAATTAACTAAAATGAATTAAATACCAGCTTGTGTTTTTTTTCCTGTTTCAGGGAAATCTCTTGACTATTTTACCCAACTGACACATTTTTTTTAAAATGTCTCTAAGTGGGTGAGTACATGTGAGTGTGGGCGCCGCTGGCGTCAAGAACAGGAGTCTGGATGCCCTGCAGTTGGAGCTATAAACAGTTGTGAACCGCCTGAGGTGGGTGCTGAGAACTGAACTCCTGTTTTCTGCGAGCAGTATGTACTAGTAACCCTTCTTCTGTGGAGTACCCTCCCCACAGACACACACAACACACACTACATATACAAACACATAGACACACACAACACATACACATAGACACACACAACACACACTACACATACAGACACATAGACATACACAACACACACTACACATACAGACACATAGACATACACAACACACACTACACATACACAGACACATAAACACACACAACACACACTACACATACATAGACACATAAAAGTACACAACATAGACACAGACACACATACACCACACACACCACAATTCTACACACAACACAGACACACATATGTACACACACAATTTAAAAGTAGTACATTCTTTTTTTTAAAAAAGACTATTTTCAAAGCTCTTCCATTTTATCATCCATCCAGAGTCAGTTTCTTCTAGATGTTTGTTTAATGTTTCTATATTAAGAACCGTTTTCCACGATAGAGAAAACAGAAAAGCTGTGAGCTGGAAATGCCGTCTCTCCTTACCGTCTAACACGACACCATCTGCCACCAGCTCTGGGCTTCCCCGTCCTTGTCCCCAGTCCAAAAGAAACAGCTTTAAAGCGCTATTTTGCTGTCTGTAGAGAAGCTTTTGCTTTTGTTTTTCAAATTCAGTCGCTCCGCTATACGGATCTGCAGGGTCTAGCTAGATTTGCATCCTGGATGATATGTCCTTGCTTCCATCTTATGTGTCCTTCTGAAAATCTTGCTCATCATGGACTTGCCTATGTGTCACAGTGACATCCCCAGCACACTGGAGCAATCACAAGATGTACCGAGACACTTAAACACTTAATGTTCCCTTACCAGTAGACTAATTGGTGATTTTATTGGCTTTGGTTCAGTTTGATATATATATATATATATATATATATATATATATGTGTGTGTGTGTGTGTGTGTGTGTGTGTGTGTGTGTGTGTGTGTCTTATATATGCCTTTTGTTCTTTAGTAGACTCTTTGGGGGATCTGTAGATACAGCTTCTTGTAAAGGTTTACAGATGTTATAGTTTGAACATAAATATCCCTCACAGGCTCACATAGTTGAACACGGGGTTCCTAGCTGTTTTGAGAAGTTGTGGAACCTTCAAGTCAAGCCTCACTGGAGGAAGTGGATCACTGGGGCAGGCCTTGAGGCTTTCTAGCAAGGCTCCACTTTCCTTCACTCTGCTTCCCGAATGCAGAGGCACTGTGACCAGACAGGCTTGCTCCTGCCACCATGCCTTCCTTGCCCTGCCAGCGCTTCCTTGCCACCGTCAGGCTTTCCCCGCCACTCTGAAAATATAATCCCTCTGAAAATACAAACCCTTAAGTGTATTTTGTCAAGATACTTTATCATAGCAACAAAACAGTAAGGAAGATACCAGGGGACCTGCCCTCCCAAAGTATCAAATACTGGGGATCTTGCTTTCTTACAACAGTGCGCTGAAGTATTTGTCTGTAGTTTGTCTGTCCCCATCCCGTTCTGCCCTCGTGGAGCTTGTGCAGTTTAGAAAGCACTGCCTCTCACTGTAGGTATAGTAGAATGGACAGAGTAGGATTCTGGGTCAATCAGGCCTGTGATAGTCAAGTCACCTACTCTCTCTCTGACTTAGTCTTCCCCATCTTCCACAAGGACACTGCAGACAGTGTTGGTTGGGGATGTTAAATGAAATGATACACGGAAAACGTGCAGCCCAGTGCTCCATGCACAGTAACCCTTCGGGAACTGGCCCCTTGCCGTATTCCTCAGCCATTCTTCTCATGCCTTCCTTCAGACGGGTTAGCTTCCATTCATCTTTAAAACTAAGCTAGGCAGCCCAAACCAAAACCAAAAGACCCTTTGTGTTCTAACAACTTGAAACGACCACCACCACCTTACTAATACCCTGCCCCTACAATGGACATACCCACCATGAGCGGATCATCCACAAAGATGTGAGTGTGGTGTGCCTACCCAGGCTCTTAACTTTCTCTCATTGTTCCAGCAGCTGCTGCTGTTCCTGCACAGGGCTGTGACTCCTCACCTAGAGCCAGGCTTCAGCTAGAGGGGTGTGGCCAAGGCAAGGTGACTTCTGACCATCACCCAGACAGTTTAACTATCTAATCCTTCCTCCTATCCTCTACTTGGGTCAACTGTCAAGGTTCTTTGCTCCTGAACTCTTAGCATGGTTCTTAGACACAATGGAAGGGTTCCACTTGCCATGGTAAAATCAACACACAGTGTCTGGATGGCACCCCAGCACTCGGAAGGTGGGAGCAAGAGGATCAGGAGATCAAGGCCAGTCTGTGGTACATAAAGATTTTTTTTTTCTGTCTCAAAAACTAACCAAGCAATCAACAACAAAAACAACTAAAGCGTGACACAAATCAACTCTTTGTTAATCATCATTTACAATAATCCAACTTTGCCCAAGTTTGCTCTCAAAAGCACAGAGCAACCTATGCCAGTCTTGACTGAAATTCTATGACTCTCCACATCAAGGTCAAGTGACCAAGCCTGGTGCACCCTCGTCCTCGCCTGCCTGGGGTGACTGGCACACAGCGGTCAGTACTTTGTTTTCTGGATGGAAAATAGCAGAAGGAATGTGCAAACTGCCGTGCTGGTTTTGGGAGCATTTCCCTTTCCAGGTGCCTACCTTTTCTGATTGTGTATTGGTGTGTTGTTTTTCCAAGTCCAGTCTTGTTTACTGTCGGGCTCAGAACTAATTCTTTAGATACAATGTTTCTGGCTCCTTAGAATCTGTGGGGCATCCTCACTGCTATTTTGGTAACACACAGGACACCCTCGCTGATGCTGCTGGCATAGAGTGGCTGTGTCGGAACTCTCCGCGCATCTGTGGGACATTTCCTCAAGACTGTGGTCCTTCCTTCTGTTCTCTATTTTTTTTAATTGTGGGTGCTGGGCATCGAACTCAGGGCCTCATAGATGCTAGGCAAGTGCCTTACCAATTATGCTACATGCCAGTCCATGTCCTCTGACTTCTCATCAGCCCGTGACTCAGTTCACACTGGCTGGCATCACTGAAGTCCCTATCAGCGTCAGGTCCCAGAGCTTAGAGTTAACTGTCTCCTACAGTTCCCTACTCACGACAATGATGACCCAGAGGTGGGTGCTCTAGGGTTTGGGGAATAAAGTTTATTGCTGACAGTTTTTTTTTTTAAATCCTAAGTAGTTATTGACTTGTTATTACGTGTGTGTGTGTGTGTGTGTGTGTGTGTGTATGCACACTTCTCAAGGCCAGAAGACCATTTGTGGATGTCAGTTCTCTGAGTTCATCATGTGTGTCCTGGGAACAAAATTTGGGTTGTCAGAGCAAAACTTAACAAAAATATCTCACTGGGTCATGAGTATTAAGGTTTTTCAGATCACTTTTGCTCCTTTTATGAAAACATTATAAAGGTTTTCCTAAATTTTTAGTT